TTTTTTTTTTTTCCCTTTGAGACAGTCTTGTTCTTGTTCTGTTCCCCAAGCTGGAGTGCAATGGCACGATCTCACCTAACTGCAACCTCTGCCTCCTGGGTTAGAGTAGCTGGGATTATAGGTATGCACCACCACACCCGGTTAATTACTAGAGATGGGAGTTTCACCATGTTGGCCAGGCTGGTCTCAAACTCCTGACCTTGTGATCTGCCTGACTCGGCCTCCCAAAGTGCTTGGATTACATGTGTGAGCCACTGCGCCCAGCCTCAAACTGTTTTAAGCTCTAAATTCAATTCCATTTTTAGAGCTTATCTGGTGCTTCATTTCCTTCCAGGGTTCTGTAGTGAAAAAAGCTTGCTCGTTTTTTTATTTTTCTTTAAAAAAAAAAAAAAAAATTAACAGTTTTATTGAGGTATAGTGGTTTGCTTCTTGACTTCTCCACATGCAGACATTTAGATTTCCAGTTTCTCAAGTTGCTAGATCATTTACTATTGCCCAGACCAGCCTGGGCAATACAGTGAGACACCACCTCCACAAAAAAAGTGAAACAATTAGCTGGGCATGGTGGTTCATGCCTGTAGTCCCAGCTACTGGAGAGGCTAAGGTGGGAGGATTGCTTGAGCCCAGTGGATGCAAGGCTGCAGTGAGCTATGATCTCGCCATTGTGCCTGGTCTTGAACTCCTGGGCTCAGGCAATCCTCCTGCTTCAGACCCCCAAAGTGCTGAGATTACAGGCATGAGCCACTGCACCCAGCCAACATGTAATTTTCTAGTTCTCTTTTAAAATTTTTAGCTATGATTCTCCTGTAAAGAAAAATGTTCCTTCATTGACCATTTGGTTACCTGACATATAATTCCTACAGGACACACAAGACAAAACACTTTATTCTTTATCTTTACTTATCAATGTACAAAATACTAAGTTGATGCCCTGGCAATCCCAAAGGTGTCCTATAAGGGTTTTTTTTCTTTGACTCAGGTTTTTATCTTTGATGTACTTCAACCCATTGCAGGCCTTATTCCCTTTAATGATCTAATTGTCCTATCTATGGCAATGGGAGTCCCTTCAAGTTGGCTTCACTGTGCTACAGACATGATCCCATTCATCTCAGGTTGCTTCCTTGTATTCAGGCACAACAAGGTGCCTTAAGGCTTATAATATACAATTCCTGCCTGCCTTAGACTTTGAATCAACCGTATTCCATAGAACTCAGAATTCTTTTAGTAGAAAATAGTATTTAGAAACTATAAATTAGGCTGGGCACAGTGGCTCATGCCTGTGATCCCAGCACTTTGGGAGGCTGAGACGGCTGGATTGCTTGGGGTCAGGAGTTCAAGACCAGTGTGGGCAACATGGCGAAACCCCATCTCTACTAAAAATACAAAAATCAGCCAGGGATAAAAAAAATTTAAAATAAATAAATAAAAATTAACCAGGCATGGTGGCACACACCTGCAATCCCAGCTACTTGGGATGCTGAGGCAGGAGAATCACTTGAACCTGGGAGGTTGCAGTGAGTTGAGATTACGCCACTGCACTCCAACCTGGATGACAGGGCCAGA